GGGGGGGCTGGGGTACCGCTGACCAAAAGGAGGGGAGCTGGATGCTAGCCCAATCACCCTTCACAAGGAGAGAGGAAAACATGCATGTGTGCGAATCCAAACTAAAAGCTATTCTTCATCAGGATTGTTATCTTTTAAGCAGGTAAGTGTCCCCACTGTACTATCGTGCTTCCCTTTATCATGCCATTAACTCCTAAGCCTTTACTTTAACAAGAAATGTGCAAGGAAGAACAACATTTCCTGTTGGGGGAGACCAGTAACCCCCATCAAGCTATCTGTGTGCTGGGTCATCCGTTTCCTCAAAGCACTGCACTTGCTCTCCAGGACGTACCTACACCACATAGGTTGCCCGGCAGTTTTCTCCTGCTGACACCACTGGAAGTCGAAGGTCTGGAAGCTAGCTGAGGACTCCACCCAGACTTCTTGACCAGAGCAAGGGGGTACAGAAAAAGCATGCCATAAAAAGAAAAGGGCCTGTCCAGAGAAGGGCACAACCTGCTATAGAGCGGCAACACTCTGTCCCCATCACAGAGAAATGCCATGCAGACATCACCGGAGTGCATGTAGACAGAAGTATCTTTAAAGAGGCTGCAGGAGATGAGCCGTACTGATAGGCAACAAAGGACGAGAAAGGTTTAAAAAATGCATTTTAATTTAATTAAAAAGTGAATTTAGTGCTTTAATAAACTTCACTCAGTATGGGTTTTATATCTACTTTGAGCATGAATCCCAGGAAATATATATATATATATGAAACATGTGACCAGGAAGCAGGAAATAGTGGACGGCAAACTCTAATGAATTTAGAGCTGCTATACAGTGAGAAGGAGGCTGCAAGCAGATCACACGTTTTTCCCCAGTAGGTCTCCCTCTGTCCATCTTCTTTTACATTATATGCTCTCTGTGTATTTTTCTCTGTATACCCTCTCTCTCTCCCACCCTGTATATCCTCTCTCCCTCCCTGTATACCCCCTCTCTCCCTGTATACCCCCTCTCTCTCCCTGTATACCCTCTCTCTCCCTGTATACCCTCTCTCTCCCTGTATACCCTCTCTCTCCCTGTATACCCTCTCTCTCCCTGTATACCCTCTCTCTCCCTGTATACATTATACTGTATGTATAATGTATTGCTGGGATTTGTTGTACTCCTCTATAGCTGGTGGTATTCTACATGGCGCTGTATAGAGGACTACATTTCAAGGAATAATACATTATACAGAGCAATTCAGAATACTACCAGCTATAGAGTACAACAAATCCCAGCAATAATACATTACACAGCGCAATGCAGAATACCACTAGCTACAGAGGACTACAAAACCCAGCAATAATACATTATACAGCGCAATGCAGAACACCGCTAGCGATAATGTAGTATTGCTGGGATTTGTTGTATTCCTCTATAGCCGATGCCATTCTGCATTGATTGCTGTATAATTTTACACTTTCCATTTCACTATATTGCACACCACACTATTTTTTTTTTTTTACTTCCACCGCGCCAAGCTTGCTCCTGTGATGGACTACAATCTCAATAGAAACTAGTAGTCCCATAACTGGAGCCATTTTTTAAAATGTATTTTATATCCGATTAACCAAGCTTAATAAAACCGGCAAACTAATCGATTTTGAAAATAATCGTTAGCTGCAGCTCTACAACTGTTTCTGATACATGTTCTTTAAGCTATATCTTGGTTGTAAGCGGTCTTAGTTGTATGTAATGGTGGAAAGGTGACGTCAATAGGACGTCGGGGGGGGAATATATATTCTTGGAATATATATAAGGGTTACTTCAAACTACATTATTGTCATATTGAGCCAGATGAATGGACTCTAAGTGGCCCCGACATGTCACTAGCCTTGTGACATAATTCCTGCTTGTCAATGAAAATTAATTTTGCACGTATTTCTTTGGTGTGCTGGTGACAATCACAATTAGTTTCTGCATCAATCCGGGTTGCGCCATCTGTCATCACAAAGGGGAATACCGGTCAGGAGTGCGGTGAGACACACACTGGACCAATCTCCCAAAGCCTCTCCACAAAATTAAACCATACACTACTGGACTTCTCTCATTCAGTCCTGTTGGCTGAACAAGAGAAAGCATGTGACCCGATTCAAAACAAAGATCATGGATGGAGGAAGCTACAGGTGGGAAACAGTGGCTACATTCAGTCAGATGGAGTTACTGTTTGATATTCAGACATCTGCGAGAGCGGGCGTTCTATCAAAAAGTTCCAACCTGTCAACCTCTCCAACTGGTGACATCACATGCTGTGACTGCCAGCAGATCTACAGTAGATGGTGCTAGTGCCACAGCGCCTGCACGGCTACCCACTTCTATAACCTACTCCAGTTATATTTGTCATAGGTTATAGAAGCAGATAGCCACACAGGCGCAGTGGATATTGCCTCATCGGATTCTATGACCTAGTCAAAAGGCTATATTATGTTACAGCGCCTGCGAGGCCACATGATTCTTTCTACAACCACAGTTGCCACTGCGTCTGCACGGCTATAAACTTCCATAACCTAGGACAAATATAAGTTTGTACTAGGTTATAGAATCCGATGAGCCGCGCAGAGGCAATAGTTAGACAGTTCGACAAGGATTTTCTGCCCACGCGCACCAGCTCCATCTGCTGTACATCTCCTACTGGCAGTCACCAGATGCGACGTGCCCAGTCAGAGAGTTCGACAAGTCGGAGCTTTCGATAGAACACCGGCTGCCTAAATACAGTAGTTGACAGTTGGAGACAGGGCCACATACGTTCAAATTTCAGCCGATTCAACAATAATCAGCCAAAATTTGAGAGGTGTATGGCTAGCATAGGGCTCTCCCAGCCAATCACACTGACATCATCAACAACAACAATGGAGGGACTAACGTCCTGCATTGGAGGTGAGGATGGCGAGGGACCTCCTACAACCCCGAGCATCAAAGAGAAGAGAGCACACCAGAGCAGGATCAAAAATCAATATTACACCTTATTTCGCTACCCAAAAACGGGCATTTAAGCCTTGCAGTGCAAGGAAAGGGGGCTGCAAAGGTAATCTCTATTAATTTCTCTGGAGTTGGGCTTTAACAAACCCAACTGGGATAAACTACAGTTATAAATGTACAAGTTCCAGGATGTCCTGTCTGTATCTTTATACCAGATCTATAAGTTACAGTCCCTCTCTGCACGATTCTATTTCCTGAATTATAGATGGACCGACTGTATAGCACTCCATACAATGGAGGATCATCACAACACTCGGCTGTGCACCGCCCGCAAATATGCTCTGAATACGACACTTTGGAAATAACCCCATACCTATACGCAAGGAACAGGAACGAAAGTCGTATAATGGCTGGACGTGGACACCATAAACAACAAACCTGAGGTGTCTTCCTACTCCACACCGCACCAAGAAACACAACGAGCCGGACACACTGCAACAAACAAGACCGGCAGAGCCAATTATGTGCGGGGACGGGAAGTGGAGACAAACGCAGGTCTAAACCCTACACTGACCCCTAGTGGTGAGGAGGAGAAACGGCCATTAGACCAGCGATTGGGATTTCTAATTTAGTTTACAAAATACTCGGGTTGCTTGTCACTTCACTCCTGTACATGTTTAAATGTTTATAGAACTTTAATAAATGTATAATACTTTGATCATTTATAAAAGTATAATTTATAGGATTTTGATACATTTATACTTTATAAAGTATTATAAATGTTAATAAAGGTTTTCAGTCTGTGTATTGTAATATGGGGATTGTTGCAACCACTGCCAGCCAGCCATTCGTGACCTTTGCCCCTCCGGTGAGGTTGGTTGCTAAGACCACTGGTGTCCTAGCAACCAATTATTTATTTGAACAACTCCCATTATTTACAGGACTATCGGACTTCCTCTGTCCAGAGCTGCCTGCCACTTGGATTCCACACTTCTGCTCTCCCTCCTGAAATGGACTCCTGGATGTAAGGGGGTAACTCAAATGGGCACTCCTAGATGTAAGGGAGGATTCTGCTGTGCACACTTTGATGTAAGCGGGGACTCTCCTGTGCACTCTTGGATGTAAGGGGGACTCTGCTGTGCACACTTCCCGATGTAAGCGGGGACTCTCCTGTGCACTCTTGGATGTAAAGGGGGATTCTGCTGAGCACTCTTCCATGTAAGCGGGGACTCTGCTGTGCACTCTTGGATGTAAACGGGGACTCTGCTGTGCATTCTTGGATGTATGTGGGGACTCTGCTGTGCACTCTTGGATGTAAGCGGGGACTCTGCTGTGCACTCCTGGATGTAAGCGGGGACTCAGATGGACACTCCTAGATGTAAGTAGGGACACTGTTGGGCAATCCTAAATGGAAAAGCGGGGATTCTGCTCGGCCCTCCAAAATGTAAAGTGGGAATCTGAGGGGCACTCCCAGATGTATGACAGAACTTATTGATTCATTTTAATTTTAATCCTTTATTTTTAATCTTTTTTTTTTTTGGTGGGCAAATATTTGTGAAATATACAATGTTGAAAGAGCCCTCGCTCTGTTGTATAGAAACTGTGTAGCAGTATGAGTGTTGGCTCTGGCTATAAGAGAGGACTTGTACAGCGCTTCCACATTGTAAAATATTATCCTTCTTTTCTTCTGCATATAAAGGAAAGCGGACCTTCACTCTCCCCACCTACTTTCCCTAATATGAATACTTGCCCCTTCTTTTCACTCAAGCACAAATCTAATTTTTTTTAATACTTGTATGCTCCCCCCAACTTCCAGATTTCTCACCAAGCTAAGAATGACGTAGTCCAATGAGACTTTGTGTAAGTAAATAAAAAATGCACCATGGCATGTCATCAGGGGCCGGCTGTCTCTCCCTGCTTCTTGCAGCCAGCCTTCTTATGAAGCACCACAGTGCATATTTGTCATCAGGAGGCCAGCTGCACCAACCAGGAAGAGGCAGCTGGTCCCCTAATAACATCAGAGAGGTAGATGGTGGCACAGAACCTAGTGTGCAGCAGCCAAGTGGGGATCACTTCCGAACACCACTGGATTCACTGGGCATGCATATTTATTGAGTATAACCCAGCAAACCAGGTAAGAGGGGATTGAAAAAGAAAAGTGAAGGGGGTAAAAGTCCTTCCAAAAGTACCTGCATCACATAGTCATCCTTTCCTTTGTGTTTGATGAAAACCATCTACTAATGTAATCAGACAGCCACATAGATTTATACTAGATTGATACTTTATTTAATTGAGCATGGCTCGGCCCCCACAGCCACATCATCCAATTATAGAAATCTCTAGAGGGGATGACTACAAGTGCCATCTGCCACTGCAGTAGAGGGACCCATCGACCTCTATAGAACACAAGAGCAGCAATGTCAGCACACTTCTAGTCCATTTTTTACTTTCCAGCCCCTTAACTGAAGGTTCGTTGCTCCATATGCACCTGGGGCTGGAAGAAGCGTCATCACCGATTGACAAACTACAGACTGATCTAGCAGCAGCTTACAGCCCCACCCCCTAAAATTTTATTTTATCCCACTATAATGCAAGCAGACACAGCCTGCATACGAATGGCAGTGCTACTCGGAATGGAGAAGCACTTCAGCATTGTTGCTACACCAGAGGAAGATGCATTAGTTGGATGTCACTGTCAGGCTCAATTGACATGTTGCAGGGGGAAAAAAAGAGAAAACTTTGAGTGCAGATGCTCTTGTAACTATGTTCTGGATTACATTGTTTTAATGAGATGCCATAGTTCTACTTTAAAAGAAAGGAGATTGCTAACATCACATAGCACATGACCAGCAGAACAGAAACTGGAACATGCTTACCTGGTCTGTGCAGGCTGATGAGATCTCCACTACAAAGTCTCTGCCTGCACTTGTCTCCAGTGCTGTGCAGCCAGCTCTACTCCTACACACTGCCAATGATTGCCTGCTGATTTCTCACCTGTACCTGTTCCCAGCATTCACCAGTCTGCTCTCCATCTACAGGCTCCCAAGGCTAGCTTCCTCTTCACCAGCTCAGACTGTTGCATACTGACACCCTCTAGTGTTAGCTGCATAGTATCAGCACCTAATTTAAAATGGCAGTTACAGAGGAAGTGTGCATGTTTAAACCTAACACCACACCCCCTCTGGGAGGTGCTAATTACCTGAGCCCTATGAAGCATTGCTGCTCAGAGAGCTGTTGTTGTAGAGCTACCTTAGAATATTCCTATACTTCTTATTGTTCTTGCCCTGACCTTAGCCTGTTAACTGTTTATTAACTTAAGCTGCCAGCTCTGACTTTTGGAACTGTCTGACCACGCTTCTGTATTTCCCTTTTGTACTGCGCATCCGGTATTCCCTTCGCAGAAGGCCTGTCTATTTATACTTATCATCAGTCCTGTCTATTGGCCGTATGAGTATCCCTGCTATTGGGCTCCATCCTAAGCACATCACTGATAGAAAAACTGCAAGATATGAGCTGAGGTATTAACCACAGTATGATGCTGACACTTCCAGATTCCATATATCATCATAAACACAACACAGTAATTTACTGTATTTTTCGCTCCATAAGACGCACTTTTCCCCCCAAAAGGAGGGGGGAAAATGTGCCTGCGTCTTATGGCGCTAATCCCGACGCCCGAGACATGCAGTTTCAGGCGCAGGGCGAGTAGTTTTGTGTACATTTAGCCCTGCTAAAGCAGAGCTAAATGTACAGTAGGAGCCACTGCTCGTTTAATACAAGTGATGAGTAGATCACTTGTATTTAAACTAGGGATGCACCGATACTGGTATTTTGGTACCGAGTACCAATAATTATTTTTCGCTACTTGCCGATACCAATTACCGAGTAACGGAAGTCCTATTCAGGAAGCCAGGTGGTGTGTAATGACTTGCCACCTGGCTTCCTGATTAGCCGGGAAGCGTGTAAGGAAGCGTGTAAAGAGTCGCCACCCGGCTTCCCGATTAACAAGAAAGTCCCCTCTTACCTTAGTATGTGTAGCCTGTCACCCCCGGGGCCTCTCCATAGAGAACGCGGCCTTCGTCCGGTACCCAGCTGGAGCCGTCTGGCCGGCCAATCAGGAAGCCAGGCGCCGTGTAATGACGCGACGCCCTGCTTTCTGATTGGCCGGGAGGCCGACTCCATGCTCTCGTCATGAGATGACGAGGGAGCATGAAGCCAGCTTCCCGGCCAATCAGAAAGCAGGACGTCGCGTCATTAGGCGGCGCCCGGCTTCCTCATTGGATGGCGCCGGCTGGGTACCGGACGGAGGCCGCATTCTCGCTGGAGAGGCCCCGGGAGTGACAGGCTGCACATACTAAGGTAAGGTAACCTTACCTCACGAGGCCAGCTTCCTGATTGGCCAGCTTCCCGACCAATCAGGAAGCCAGGCAACGCATCATTACATGCTGCCCGGCTTCCTGATTGGCCGGGAAGTCGGCTCCATGCTCTCTCATCACAAGTGACGAGAGAGCATGGAGCCGCTTCCCCGTCAATCGTGAAACCGGCCAGCGTGTAATGACGCGCTGCCCGGCTTCCTGATACCGGAAGTACTCGTGCTAGGCATCGGAGCATTTGGGCGAGTACGAGTACTTGCCCAAATACTCGGAATCGGCACCAATATCGATACTAGTATCGGTGCATCCCTAATTAAAACCGAGCAGCGGCGGCGGTGATCGAGATCACCATAGAGCAGACGAAGAACGGACGTTCTTCGTCTGCTCTGTGTGATCACTGAGACCGTGGCGCTGTAATCACAGCGCCACCTGTCTCAGCTGTCACTAACTGCAGCTTCTGTCACAGCTTGTCACAGAAGCTGTGACAGAAGCTACGGTCTGTCGAGTGCTCCATAAGTCGCACCGGACCTCCCTGCGGCCTATGGTCCGGTGCGTCTTATAGAACGCAAAATACAGTATTTTTTACTACACTGAGTAAATAAAGCAGCCTATGATGTTAGAATTTCATTTTTAACAGAATAAGCTGTTAACATTAAGCTGAGCATAACATTAATCACTTTAACTATCTAAAAAAATATGACAAAGAATAAAACAGTTGAAGCACAATTATATTTTTAGGTTATATTTTATAAGGTATTTTCATATTTAAACCTAGCAACCAAATTGACATGGGATGCAAATAAAATGTTTAACATTTAATTTCAGTCCACTGAGTAAACAATTTCAAGATCACAGAAATACATTTTGGGTGGACAATGTTTACTAAATAGCATGCAAAGGTTTCTGCCATTCATTGAAAAGCTCTAGCACAGGTTATCTATATGAAGGGATATGTGAATGCAGTATACGTGGCTGATTTCATATGCAAAAGTTAAAAAAAAAACCTGAAAAGATTATACACATACAGATAAAACCTCAGGTGTCTGGACACTTGACCATTAAGTGAAGTCACTAGTAAGCAGGCATCTTCCACCACCATCACCAGTTATTTTCTATGAACTGTACACATTTTTAGTATGGAAACTCTCTAAAAATGGCCTACAATGAAAATATATGGTGACATACTAAGGCATCTTGTATTGCAGAATCACTTGTAAACAATTGGAATCTCTATGGGACTACAATTGTGCTTTGATGAAATGGAATCAACATTTCTTCCTATTCACAATTACTTTTTTTGGTGTTCACTTCAGATCAGCTTTACTCTACAAAGAATTTATGGTGCTTGGGTATGTGTTGAATTAGGAGAGTCACTTGTCTCTTCCTGCGGTATAAATGGGAACTCTAACTTTTCATAAACTGTTTCCGTCACAGGCAAATATTGAGAGATCTCATTAGGCTCTGTGAAAAGAGGAGGGGGTACATGACTTAGGTCGCTGACTTTGCTCTCCTTGGAGGTGTATTCTCTCAGCATGTACATTTTGTCACTTTCATAATAAAGTCGTGTATCATTCATCCGCATAAGAACACCATCCACTCTCAGGAAGAATCTAAGAAGAAGGAAAAAACTGGAAGGCATGACTCTGATTTTAACGCTCAAGCCAGACACTCCATGATCATGAAGCTCATCTTCAAACAACAAAACCTCCTCAAAGAACATAATTTGTTCTCTGGTCTTCAATTTTTCTGTGTTAATTCGTTCAGTTGTTGGAATAACATTAAATGTTAGGTCATTACCGAGCAATGTCCCTTTATAGTCAGTTGTGTAAGTCCAATCATAGGGTTTTACAATTTCTTTGCTATGATCGTTTTCTGACCTGCTTTCTTGCCACTCTTCAGCACAAGCTACCCTTAGAGCACCCTCCTTCTTATTCACTCTTCTGAGAGCATCTTTAGCATTGAATTCTATACCAAAACCAGAGGAGTGCTGGATTCTGAGGACATTGTCTCCAAACATCATCTCAGGAAGACACGGCATGTGCATTTCTTCAGCCAGTTTTTCCACATCAGCTGACTTCATAATATGTGTCTTGATAGCAGTGACCTTCCATGGTCCAAAGTTAAAGTCTTGATTACTGCTTTTAAAACCGTGAATCATCATAGTTAGCACCAATTAAATTCTGGAAATAGAACAAAAATAATACATAAGGCACTCTACTACATTGAAATACAATAAACCATATTTAGGAAAACTTTAGTGTGTAAGGTATTAACCACAACAGGCAAATGTATGCTGTATGCACAGACAGTGCCGCTGATCAGACTGAAAGATCATACAACCAGCCGGCCAGGGGGTGATGCTGCTAAATAGCATGGGACATGACAGACTTTGGCTGCTGCCAATGCTCCTTATGTATGCCATGACAGACTCAAGCAGCGAAAGCACAAAAGGAACTATGGACGCGCTTCACCTTGGAACAACTCTTAAATGGCAGCAGTTCTCTACCCACGAGTATCACTATATACTACCCTCACCCATACACAGAGTAATTAGCCCAAGCAAATCTGCCTCCAACAAGAAATACAAGCTGTTACAAGTAACTTCTGTCCCGGGAATACAAGCAAGTCTGATAATGACACTTATATTGTCACCCCTCATGCAACAGTACTGCATCACTGCATGGCAATAACTCTCTTTTAGTGGAAAATAATGAGAGATTGGTCGTTTTACTTTATTGTTGGTCCTGTACTTATAGTCCTTTTGTAAAAGGTTTGGCAAGATTGCTTTTCTTTCTGTTTATGTTTCAGCTAGCTGGGTAGGAGAGAGCTTGTAATTCTGGGAAGACAGATGTTGGTCTGTGTGTGTTGGGCTTGGCATTGAGGCCATATAGTCCTTTTGACTAGGGACACCACAGTGGCTTAGTAGTTAATTTTACCTTGCGGCACTGAAGTCCTCAGTTCAATTCTGTTCACTATCTGCATGGAGTTTGCTTTCAGTTTATGTGGTTGCTTCTAACTTCTTACTTATTGTCCTACCTTGGTTACATCTCTGCATTCCTATGAATTCTGAGCATATGGAGTGAATCCCTATTCTTTTCTTTCAGTTGCTTGCCTTGGTCTGCTGTCCTGGCCACACTATGGATAGACCACCGTATCCTCTAGGTAAGGGCTTGCAGGTAAGTCTGCATTTACAAAAGAGGAAGTTTTTAGTGGATAAAAGTGGCTGTCCACAGTCCATATCCGTATCATCGCTCATCCAAAAGTTGCAAGCCATCCTGTTGCTCATCAAACAAAAGATCACCATTAAGGTAAAGGCAGTCACAGCAGAGGTCACCCATCACCAGTCATTCCATTTCCCATCAGGGTTGTCAGGAAAGCCAACAATAGGCATGTGGACAGACGGTACTGCAACAGAAATAAATTGTCAAGCATGCCTGGAGGAAGCAACCTGTGACTGGGACCAGGACAAAGCAGTAGTGATTGCCTTGATTAGACAGCCAGTCAAGGAATTCATTCAGGGTCTCCCTGCTACCCAAGTACTGGCTTCAGCAGAATCCGTTACAGGCTCCTCTCAGCCTTCTACCCCTCCAGTCCAGCCAAGACCACATGCTTCTGCTTTCCCAGAAGAAGAAATACCTGCAGTGGGCTTCGATTTTGTGCTTGTGCATCAAAGAGTCTATTGAATGGGATGAGCTGAGCCTTTAGAGGCACCAACAAAGCCCAGAAGCTACCATGCACAGGTGAAAAATTAGGAAATTAAAGAGCTGATGCTGAGGAGTGGAGGAAGGTAGAGAAGAAGCCTTCCTGGGTTAATTGCTTCTCAAGTTAAAACCACTAAAAGAAGCTACCTTTTTTTTTGGATAGTGCGCCCTTGGTCAACGCCTCAGTATGTGCCTGGCTTGTCAGGTTACTTTCCCTATGGATGATATCTCTTTTAAAAGCTTCCCTAGATATAAAAGTCATTTTGGACTTTTACAAGGGTCATTTTGGAGTTAAAGAAAGTGTATACAAAAGGTGTGTAGTAGGGTTGCACACATACCAAGTACAGTACTCGGTACAAGTATGAGTACATGTACCGATACTTTTGAGCTCCAAGACTACACTAGAGAAAAATTCAAAAATTAGGAGGCAGCTGTCATTTGTAAGGCACACACGGAGCTCCTGGGATTTGAACATCTCTGTTTTAGTGTATGATTTTGTTTTACTAAATATAAATTAAGGGATGCACAGATACCAGTTTTGCGAGTACGAGTACTGGTACTTGCCGAGTACTTACAAGTACCAGTACTGATACATTTTTATTTATTGTCATGTGACAGTTTTTCTAAAACAATACAGACTAATGATTTCAGGACAGTGGTGGAGTGCCAGAGCCAGGTCCCAGCTGCAACCGCTGCAACCCTGGTAGTTCTCATGAAAATGCCAAGTATCTGCACTGGTACTCGAAAAAAGTATCTGTGCATCCCTAGTGTGTAGTATCTGTAAGCCATCAATAGCCCTGACCTCAGTTGCCAAGGCCATGAGAGAATGGTCAGAAAGTATCAAGGCAGCTTTAATGCTTATCCCCCCCCCACACAAATTTAATTATTTTCCCCCAAAAGGAGGGGGAAAATGTGCCTGCATCTTATGGAGCGAATACCTATCGCCTGACGGACATGCAGTTTCGGGCGCGGGGCGACTAGTTTCTTTTTGTACATTCAGCCCTGCTCCTGACAAGCAGAGCTTAATGTACAGTGGGAGCCGCTGTTCGTTTAATACAAGGGATCTAATTAGATCCCTTGTATTAAATCGAGCGGCGGCAGCATCGGCGATCGTGTCCGCCCCCCACCGTGGTTTTCTGGGTCCCCCGTTCCTCTGAGCCCATTCCACCATAGAGCCCATTGAGCAGACGAAGCACGTTGTTCTTCATCTGCTCTGTGTGATTACTGAGACAGCGCCACCTGTCTCAGCAGTCACTAACTGCAGCTTCTGTGACAGAATTTCTGTCATAGAATTTCTGTCACAGAAGCCATGCGTCCTATCGTCCGGAGCGTCTTATAGACCGCAAAATACGGTAGATTCAGCCATGTCACCAGTGGCAAGTCAGGTCTTATAATGCATAACAAAAGACATCACAGACAGTGTCAGTCTTGGGCAAAGATGCAGGCTAATAACAGGTCAGGGAGGCCAGGTCATATAGGCCAAGGAAAGAGCCTAGAAAAAAAACTGGAGAGACAGGCAATCACATTCTTAAAAAGGTTGATGCCCTAAAAGGTCTCTACATCTGAGACTCAGATGCCATTCTGATGGAAGTCTGGGCAAAGGGCTTCCAGGATCACTGGGTCCTGAGAAAGGTGTTGCAGAGCCATCATTGGGAATTTGTGTTGCTTCATCCCAACTTCTAAGCATCAACCAGGCTTCTGGAGTGTTGTCAGAAACTCCAAACAATGGTAGAGTATGTCAGAAATCATCTGTGTCAACATGCCATCCAGCACGTTCCCTAAGCAGAATATTTCCAGAGATTCTACTCGCCTTTCTTCTTGGTAAGAAACAGACAGGATACTTTAGGCTGGTCCAGAATTTCAAATGTAATCAATCCAGTGGATAGAACAGATTGTTTACCTCAACAATTGTCTCCTTTCAGTTGATCTCTCCAAAAGCTATTTGCACATTTCCTGGATGACATTCTATTGGTCGCTTGGTGTTCCCAGGCTCTCTTGGGACACAGGGGTCTGTTGATTCGTACCTTGGAAAATTGGCTGGACTATCAACTATGCATTAACTTGAAGAATAGTCTGCTAGTCTCATCACAAAGAACAATTTTTGGAAGCAGTTCTAGATACAGCGAAGGACTTGGTAGAATTGCCAAAGGACAAAATGCAAGTAGTAAAAGGTAAGAGAACAGGCAACAATGTTTAGTCACCATCTATCACACATCAGTGTCTCAGGATCATTTTGACAATGATGGTGGCGATCACAATGGTCAGATGAGCTCACTGCAAGCTCATGCCAATTCAGGTGTAATTCCTGAGGCGGTTGAAATTAGATTTACACCTACGGTGCATCCATTTGACATCTCCCATGAGGTGCTCCATGTGGTGATGGATGAAGAAGTCCAACCTGAAGAACAACCTAAAAAATTTCAAGAGGCAGTGGACAACCATGCTGTCAGAACAAGTGTCAAAAGTGTAAAATTGGGAGCAGCCTGTCGGGCGCAGAAGGCCTTTGCCTTGTACATCACAGAGAAAGCTGTGAAGTTACAACTATACAAGACAGCAGTTTCATATATTCGTCATCAAGTTGGCACCCGCAACTCCTCCATGTTGGTAGAGATGACAACGATCATGCTGTGGGCACAGAATAACCTAATGGAATTGACCGTCAATTACATTTTGGACCCTTAGAATAGTTTAGAGGATTCCCTGAGATTGGAAATAGTGTATAGCCATAAATGGTCCCTGAGACAAGAGGCCCTTCTTCAGATATGCAGTCACTGGGAGTAGGGCTGCAACCAACTATTCTCATTAACGATTAGTTGATTGGATCCCCTAGTTCTCTCCTCCACACTGGGAACAGGGGAAAGCAAGCAGTGGGCGGGTGCAATAGCCAGTCTGCTGTTGGTTTTGGCAATTTGAAATGGCCTATAGCAGGCTGGCTTTCGCACCAGCCCACTACCTGCTGTATTTACATTCAGCTGCCGTCTGTGGAATCTTGCCACTGGCAGCTGTCATTCCGTGTCTGAAGCTATTCAAGCGCCATGTGCTCACAATACAATTATTACAAAAAATAAATACATTATAAAAAGGTGGGGAAAAAGTCATTTTCGGTTTTGGCCTGACAAATTCTGCTGCAGTAGGTGCGTTGCAGTGCCATTCATTTCAATGGCACCCCAAACGTGCCTCCTACCCACAGTGTGATCGTCCGCACCAGAATACACAATACCGCAATGCTGCGCGTTCCAGTGCATTGTGATTCCAAAAAATTGTGCATGCAGTTTTATTTTGAAGTAAACTTTATGCTTGTACCACTTTATTTGTGTATTTTATTTTAAACTAAGGATGGTATTTATTTTTTTACGATTAATCAAAAAATTAAATCAGCCAACTAATCGATTATGAAAATAATCATTAGTTGCAGCCCTAATTGGGAGTTTCCCAAAATAAATCTGATAGCATCTTGATCCAACACCAAGGTCAACAGTTTTCTGGCCAGGAGAGGTTCTTCAACAGTGGGAGTGGATGCCCTTTTGTACCCCTGGGACTTCGGGTTGGGGTATCTATCCCTTTGATTAACATGATATTCAGGATACTGAAGAGAATCTGATCCTTTCTGTCAGACGTTATAGTGATTCTTCTATTTTAGCCTCCCAGACCCTGGTTTCTCCTGCTGCAATTACTGGAACCGAAGCCTCCAATCATGAATCTAGCTTTCTCAAAGTTAACATACACTATATTGCCAAAAGTAAAGGAACGTATTTATCTGCCTTTAGACGCACATGAACTTTAATGGCATAGCAGTCTTAGTCCGTAGGGTTCAGTATTAAGTTGGCCCACCCTTTGCAGCTTTAACAGCTTCAACTCTTCTGGGAAGGCGTCCACAAGGTTTAGGAGTGTGTCTATGGGAATGTTTGAAAATTCTTTCAGAAGCGCATTTGTGAGGTCAGGTACGGATGTTGGACGAGAAGGCCTGGCTCGCAGTCTTCGATCTAATTCATTCCAAAGATGTTCTATGGGGTTGAGGTCAGGACTCTGTGCTTGCCAGTCAAGTTCCTCCACCCCATACTCACTCATCCATGTCTTTATGGACCTTGCTTTGTGCACTAGTGCACAGTCATGTTGGAACAGGAAGGGGCCATCCCCAAGTGTTCCCACAAAGTTGGGAGCATGAATCATTTAAAGCAAAACTATAGTGCAAACTTAAAAAGTTGCTGGGTGGCTTTTACTGCAGAAGAGACAGTGTATGTCTCAGCTGCAACAGGAGCTCCTCTTCTCCTAAATGTACCAAGCTGTGCATGTGCAGCATAGTATGCATTCTAGACATGCCTTGGTGCTGGATGAATTTACTCCCATGCACACGCCACATCAACCTAAGATAAGTCTAAAGGTGCCCATACACTGCACGATTATCGTACGACAATCGTATGCGATCGGTTTTTCGTACGATAATCGAGCAGTGTGAACGGAGACGTGCGACCGTTTCTACTGTACGGTCGCATGTCTTCTTTCGAACCAGCATGTTCGAAAACCAGCCGGGAATCGTACGATTCTCGGCTGGTTAGAACGGTGCTCGGAAGATAAATGCTGAACGGGCCGGTGTGCGCACACGCACACTGAGATACTACTTCTATGGTCAGATCCCTATGGATTACAGTTCTGAACAGAGTATTGTATGCCTGTGTGCATGCACCCTATAAGGAGATTTTTCTAACTTTGGGGAGATTTCCTCTCACTTCCTGTTGTGTGGACAGGGACACAGTTACAGAAAAAAAAAGCACCTAGCCACTGCTCTTCCCATTTCGTATTCTATCTAGAAGAGACACTTTAGTGGCACTGCTGTAAACATGATTGTGACCATACAATACACCTGCCCTGAGAACATCTATTGTTTCTGGCCTGGTGTTAATCCTGGAGTTGTAAACCCTGACCAGGGATGCAGAGGATTGGGCTCTCAATCATACCCATATGGGGTACACATTTCCTGCCACCCCTTAGCTGCATGCCAATAGTAGCTACCCTAAACTGACTGCTACTGCAAACAACTATAATACTTCTAATCCTTAACAACACTCTACCAGTGCACAAGCTTCCCACACCGCCTACCGATTATAACCGTTGCTCTTTCCGCCCCCCGGGTCCCCACACAAGGCCTGCACATCCCCACCATCATACTAACCAAGCAAGGCGCCGTCCTCTTTCCCCAACACATTACCCACGCCAGCCACAAACCAGCCAATCACTGAGCTCCATAGGATGATTGGCTTCTGCGTCCTACAATCACAACGCAGGGCTCCAGCGTTGCCTCGAGCGCCATCATTTACTACAGCCGAATGAATTACGTAATGGAGAGGTAAGGTCGAGGAACTCAGCGAATCAGAGCACGCGAGGTTCTGAGGTCCGCCAATCAGATCAAGCGTTACATATGAACCTATGGGGGTGCAAGGTGAGCAGGAAGTAAGCGGAAATAAACATAGGAGGTAGAGATGAATTCCCTGGAGCAGGCAGAAGGTGCGGTGGGTGTAGTAGGGGGGAGGGAATGACAATATGGTTTATTGTATAATACGTTGTGATAGTTTTATGTAAAGACTTTGTGTGATTTGTTCAGAATTGCCATTGATTCACAATGACACAGATCCTCACGTGTGTGCTGTAGGTGTCATGCTGACAGTACTGTTATCCTGCAAGCAGCAGTTCAATTGACATCTCTTATTGTTCCAGATTTGTGTGAGAAGTTTATATGTAATTCTAGTTCACACCAGCTTCAGGTTGTATAAGAGAAGTGTCAACTGCACGATTTTGTCATACATGTGCAAAGCATATGTGAAGCTCTCAGCAGCTTTCTTGAAGCATTTCAATCACCTTTTTAGCTCCAGCTTTGTAAATGTTAATCACTGATCTGCGAAATGTCACTTTAAACAAGACTTCAGCAGACTTTCTGCATTACAGAAGCCTGCTAGCAACTTATTTAAAGAAGAACTCAAGGAAAGAACAAAGTTAACCCAGTGGGGTTACCCCTGCACTGCAAGGGTTAACTGCCCCTTTTTCTCTAGGGCCCAAAGATATGATCACCTGATCTTCAGTCCTCCAGCAGCCAGCACCCTCCTCCAGCTATGTTATGTCCTTGGGCATCCTCATTTCTCAGGACCAGGTAAATGAAGTGATAGTGTCACTGATCTTTGGACCACCTGAACCCAGAGGAAAAGAGGCTGCACAAACTGGTCTAGCAGCCAGGTGGCATAGAGGATCAGGTGGGTATATCTTCTTTAACCCAACTCCTAGACCAAAGAAACCAGTCCAGGAATTAAAAAAGGTAACCCATGCAGTGGGGCTACCCCCACCCTGCAAGAGTTAACCTTGTTAATTCTTCCAGTTCTTTTTTTATAGTGATAGCCAGCCCTCCCTTCAAAGTGGAGCTACAACCTCTAACCCTTACAGCCAAAAAGGTGCCATCTTGGCCTCTATTCGGATTTCAGTTGCCATGGTGTTGCACATGTGATCAGCTAAGACACCGGCCATTTTGAGTGCTTCAGAAATTCAGTTTAGACCTAAATAAGTGCACTGGCAACCTTGACAGTTGGCATGCCTTGAGGCCTCACTCACACAGCTAAGTGTGGGCCCGTACAGATCCGTGCTGCGAGTGTGGCCGTATCGAGCAGCTCCCGGGAAGGACATGTGCTACGTGTGATTAGTACGCCGGCCTACGCTCACCCCAAGTGCAGGTCTGTGCGGCTGCAGGTGTCCGTACTCGTATGCTGACAGGATGGATCCTGTCTGCAGCCGAGCCGGGACACCCGCAACCGTATGGACCTGCACTTGAGGGGAGCGTAGGACGGCGTATGGCCTCGTACTCCCATAGAGAAGGACAGGGGTTACGTACTAATCACACGCAGCACCTGTCCTTCCCAGGAGCTGCCCGATATGGCCGTGCATGGAGCTGTACGTGTGAATGAGGCCTAAAAGTAACTGTTTTGGGAGACATTCAATTGGTGGGTAAAGTTCCTCTTTAATATCTGTGTTTTAAAATTCCCAAACTATAGCTGAAGGGTGCTTTAAAGGCTTTAATAAAGCTTGCTGAAAGCTCTGCAAATGATCTATGAAAAGCTCACTGCTCTTGTATAAGCTGAAGCCTGTGTGAACTAGCTCTTAGAGCAGTGGTAGGCAACATTGGCACCTCCCACTGTTGTGGAACTAGACATTGCAAGAACTTGACAGCCACAGACATGACTTCCAGAGTCAGTCATGACGGGATTTGTAGTTTTACCACAGCTGGGAAGCCGCTGATCACAGGCATTCATAACAACATTTGCCATTGCTATAATAAAATTTGCCAGTACAAGTGTTATCTACTCCCCCTTCACTGTGCTTTGTCATTCATAAAATACAGCCTGTGATGACGCTGCAGCCGGCCAAAAGGTATGAAAAGGATTGTACCCAGAGTAAGATATAACTGCACTACAATCTGCTGGAAGATTCCGGACATGGATATGCAGTGTGGCAGGGGTACAAATCTTTTTATGGTTATCATAGTTCACATATATGCATTTCAACTCTGTACTTAAAGTGATATTAAAGTCAAAAATATTTTAACCACTTCCCTGCCGGCCGTTGTAAAGAGTCGGCGGATCGCTTGTATAAGGTCTCGGTATGTGTGCGCCCTCCGCGGCTCCCCCCTCTCGCTGTCCGGGACCAGCATAGTGCCTCTGTCACAGGGGATCAGAGGGAGATCGGTACACGACCTCCCTCCGGTCCCCTCTCCGCTGTCAGAATGCGGAAGTGATGTATATTACATCACTTCCGCATTTTTGTGTCACTCTCCAGCTTCAGATGCTGGAGAGAAGCTGATGAAGCAGATCTCTGCTTCATCAGCTTCTTCAGGGGGGTCCTAGGTGACAGGGGTCTTGGAGACCCCTGATGTCTCCATAAAGAGGATCTTTTGCTATCACATAGGGGGGTTTCTTAGCCCCCTATGGGATAGCAATAAAGTTAAGTGGGGGGAAAAAAATAAAGTTTCCCCCCCAAAAATTTGAAGTTACACATAAAAAGAATTTAAAAAAAAAATTAAAGCCCCCCCGCCCCATACATACACGCATGCAAATATGCGTCGGGTGCGCATACGTGCGAAAACGACGATTGCGCCCATTACGCCACACATGTTACATAACGTCGGAATGAGAGCAATAAGTCTAGGCCATCAATCACTGATAACACTAAACTGATGAGCGGTAAAAGCTTTTAAAGCATCACCTATGGTCAATTTTGGGTATGGTAGTTTCTTGCGATTTCGCGGGTGCGCGCAATTTTAAAGCTCGACATGCTTGGTGCAACAAATGGGTAATAATCCTTGTTCCCGAATATAATGGGGGGGAAAACTTTTATTTTTCAACATTTTCAATAATTTCTCCTTAATATAGTAAAAAATTAAAACCTCAGTGGTAATTAAATACCACCAAAAGAAAGCTCTATCTGTCCCCAAAAAATTGTATAAAATGTATTTCAGTACAGCGTTGCATGACGGAATAAATGTCAGTCAAAGTACCACAGCACTGAATACTGAAAAATGGCCTGGCCAGGAAAGGGGTGTAAACACCTGGTCTTAAGGGGGTAAACTATTTAAAATGCTGATGAAATCACTTAAAATGAATGCTGCTTCTTGATGTTTAAACGTCTTAGTTCCCTGCAGAATTAGCTGGTCCCCTGAGCACTGGTCCTGATATCCTGTTTTAGAGTGACTCCTTTGTCCAGCAGAGTGCTATGCAGTCACCCTTGTGTGTGCTAGTAAGCTGTGTGTGTGTGTGTCTCCACAAACACACAGACAATCAAGCTACTTCCCTCCCCCCTGGCCCCTTCTCCGAACTAGTAGATGAACAGTTGCTGGAGTCTGCACTGTCCTTTGTAATCTTGTAGTGGGCAGGAGGTTCAGGGAAGCTGAGCTGAGGGACTTGGAAGCAGCTGTTCAGAAACATGATGTTTGTAAGTGTTTGGTCAAAAATGTAAAGCAATGGTTTGCTGGGCAAATGTATATTTGTTTGATCTGGATTCAGTATTGAGAAAAAGTTTGAGAGTTTAAAGGAGAACTACGGGGTAAGTGTTTTTCCCCATAGTTATCCTAAAGGTCACGGGAGGACATTTACTAGCGTCCTCCCCAAAGCTCATTATATCGCGAGCTACAGCTCGCGGTATACTGAGACCGCCGCAGCCGGGACGGATCCCGACATTACTGTCGAGATCCACCCGCTGCATGAGTGACAGATGGCTCTGCCTATCTAGAGGCGGAGCCAGCTGTACCCGCCCCGTCCGTTTCACCAGTCAGCGCTGGAGGATCGGAGCGGGGAGAGGAGAATCCCTGCAGGGAGCTGTGAGTGGCAGTCACTGCTCTCTACAGGGAGATGATCGAGAAGTGAGCGAGCGACGGTATGTGTCCGCTCATTTTCCGATCATTGTCACACGTCTGCTCCAGCTATGAGGATGAGTGATTTTCACTCGCCTCATAGTTCTTTTAAGTGCTTGCCTACTAATATGGAAGAGACGTATTTGAGTAAATAATAACATTTTCTAGCTCTTAAGCGTTTGTGTAGCATAGCAGATTGTATGCGTCCTTGTTTTAATTGCGTGTTATATTTCTTTTTTAGATCTGAAAGCTTTTGAGCGAAGACTTACTGAATATGTTTCATGTTTACAGCCGGCGACAGGACGCTGGAGAAGTATGTTTTTTGTATGTTCTTTAAAGGAAAACTACTAGTTTAGTATGAAGGAGTGGTTACTGTAGTTGTTCTTTCCGAAATCAGCAGGTTGGCGGCAGAACTCTCTAGCAGCATGTCCACTCCAATCGTCATCTTGGACACACCCCAAGGCAGATTTACTTAAGAGTTCATCTGTTATGCACCCCAGGATGTTTTCATACTTCTAACTTTATCGTTTTTTGTTTTAGTGATTCTTATTGTGGTTTCCGTTTGTACTGCGACGGGCGCATGGAATTGGTTGATAGACCCAGAAACGCAGAAGGTATTCCTTTTTTTTTTTTCCTTTTAAAATGCTATTTTTATTGTTATAATTGTAATCATTACAAATCTTTGTTAAAGCAAATTTTGCTTAAGCTAATTACTTTTCTGTACTGTGATAAAATACCACCCAAGCATTGGGGATCCCCACCATACATTTCTCAGTCAAAATTACCTTCCTGTAAAAATTGCACTTGCTTGTTTTTGTAGGCTTTCTGAACTTACACCTCTAGTGGCCTGCCTGCACTCTGTACCTGGTCCTGCAGTTGCTGGTTATTTTGACATACATTGAGTACCAGGATCCTCCTTTACAGTTCTAAATATGCAGAAAGTATGTTCTATGAGCTTTTTTTCCAATACTGTACAAAAGGGCAGAGGTGTAACTTCAAATAGAGATGGGATGTGTCCAGCATTTGGATACTTTAGGAACATGGTGAAAACACCATGCCTCATCTCCTCTGTCAGTCACTTCAACCACCATGAATATACTGAAAATATCCCTTGCCATGAAGCTGAGATGTCTTTTTTTTTTTTTAAAGCATGTGGGTAGTTTGAAATTAATGCACATCCTTTTTTTGATAGTTTTATACCTCATGATCCAATATGCTCAAATATGTTTTAAATGCCCTGTGTTTCCACTGTATGTGATTACTTTTATATGTAATATTTTTTTGGGAACCTCTTTCTGTGGAAGCTCAAAATGTCTTATTTTGAAGCACTAAAATGAAGATTGGACATGGATGTTCTACCAGACTGGAGTCTGGCATGACTTGCTGGTATTGGTGTGTTTGGGAAGCTTTTTGGCAGTGAGTAGAAATCCACCCCTAGCCAAACTACTACCTAAGCTATAGAAAAACATTTGCTCAGCCTGAGACCTATCATTGGCTGGAGTGTGGCAAAATGTTATCGCACTGCTACATTTTATAATGTCAATGTATTGATGTAACGTATAATGGATAATGTCAAGTGCATCATCCATTACATTACTTGTAACTAGGGATGCACCGATAGCAGTTTTGCAGTATTGAGTACCGATATTTTTTTTTTTTTTTCGGTACTCGCCAATACCGGAAATCCCATTAAGGAAGCCAGGCAGCATGTAATGATTCGCCACCTGGCTTCCTGATTAGCTCAAATACTCAAGTTCGGCACCAATACTAGTATCTGTGCATCCCTGCCTGTAACCATTGTTATTCTGCATCTTTATTTAACAGGTATCGTTCTTCACATCGCTATGGAATCACCCCTTTTTTACAATTAGCTGCATAACTTTAATAGGACTCTTTTTTGCTGGGATCCACAAGAGAGTTGTAGCACCATCAATGTATCCTTTTATTATTCTGTTTGTCGCTGTCAGTAAAAATATTTTGCTCAGTAAACTGCTTTTGCAAATTAAAGGTAAATAGCATTCAATATAATTCTTAACTCCTAACTAAACCCAAGAACAAAAATTTAATATATTGAAGTTTACTAGCTGTTAAGCTGGCCATACACCTTACAATGTATCTGCAGATTTTCTGTGGACAGATGGAAAAGGTGCAACAGATTCCTCCATCTACACTTAAAGTGACATTAAACCCTCAGATTTTTTAACATAAACCAATACTGTAATGTGTGCCTTACTGTAATCCATGGTTGTTTCCCTTCTCTTTGCTGCTCTTCCTTTTAAATCCTCATGTCTTCTCATGCTAGGGGAGAACTCCCCTTTGCAGCTGAGTGCCTCTTCCTGTAGTGCTAGCTCAGGTTGCAAACCCATACACAGACACCATGTAGCCATTCCAGAGACAAGGCAGTCTGCTGCACAGAAGTTCTACCCAGCATGAGAACAGATACAGATTTAAAAGGAAGAGCAGCAAAGAGAAGGGAAACGACCATGGATTACAGTAAGGCACACATTACAGTATTGTTTTATGTTAAAAAATCTGAGGGTTTAATGCCACTTTTACTGTGTGGATGGAGTAATCTCTACCTGGGCCAATCTGTTGCACATTTTCCATCTGACCACAGAAAATCTGCAGATAAATTGTAAGGTGTACGGGCACCTTTTAGATGTGGTGGCTACATGAGTTTAAATTTTTCAGTGAATTTAGAAAATACAGCTTGCTAGATATTCAGTGTGCTTGTCACTTTCTTTGAGATGAGCAGATAGTAAAAGCAATCCCATCATCCACCGTGGAGGTGAACAAAGTCTGACATGTTTGAAGTCAAGTTTGGGTGGTAACCATGGCTCCCTCCATAGTTATACTGAAAGAAGGAGTAAGCGTAGCCACCCAAGGACAGGATGTGTTATATGCAGGGTTACTTGGTAAAAGTAAAAAGGGGAAAAGCCTAAGATGAAATTATTTCCAACTCCTCAAAAAACTGGCAAGTTGCAATATATTGATTTGGGTTTAGATACACTTTAAATACAGTGACCAAGACGTGTATAGTTCATAATTTTGTGAAAAAACAGTAAGTATGAGGTAAAGTATTTATCTTGCAGGATTTTTATTGTATGTATGTAAGAATTTGCTGCCACTTTCAAACTGCTCCCAGGGTTGTGAATAGCATTTTCAGCATCTTTTACGTAACATGCAAGTAGAAAAACAGACCAAAACTTTGTTTTATTGCATGAAAATTGTACGAACAGTAGGTTATTCCTAGTGAGAAAGAAGCATCTGAAAGCAACCAGTGAAACCGAAGCAGCATTATAAGGTGGCCACAGCTTGAAGGAGGAAAAAAGCGTGAAAAAGAAATCTGAAATACAGTACATTTTTATGAATAGGTTTAGATGCACTTTAATCACTGTTCCTATAGACTCCTTATAATCTGCCTTTTCGGCTGTGCTCTCTGATAATGACTTGTATTATTTGTGATTTCTTTCCCAGGAGATAAATAATAATATTATTATTATTATTAACACATAAATGAAAAAGCATGGCATTCTGCTCATATATTAAACTCTTTACCTAATTCTGACCGTTTAAATAAAAATGCAGTGGGATTAAACAACAAGGTGGTGCTACCTTTTAGGTAGAGTCTTTTAAAGCCAGAGACTTTTTAAATTTAAGATCACAGCATTAAAGCTCCTCTCTATACTCCTCACTTAAAGGAGAACTATGAGGTGAGTGCTTTTCACTCACCTCATAGTTCTAGCCGACCTGTGACAATGAGACTGTCACAGGTCGGCTCAGTAGATCGGGAGGTGAGCGAACACATACCGGGTTCGCTCGCCTCTCAAAACCTGTCACGGCTCTCTGCCGTGGCAGGGGGAGGGCTGGATTCCCCTCTCCCCGCTCCGATCTGCCAGCGCTGACTGGCGGAACGGACGGGAGAGGGGGCGGGTACAGCTGGCTCTGCTCTAGATAGGCAGAGCCAGCTGTCACTCACGCAGCTGGGCGGATCCCGTCATCTAAGTCGTGATCCGCTGCGGCGTCTCAGTATACCGCGAGCTGTAGCTCGCGGTATACTGAGCTTAGGGTAACGGGAGGACACTAGTTTGTGTCCTCCCGTTACCCTAAGGAGAACTATGGGGGAAAACACTGACCCCATAGTTCTCCTTTTTAATTATCTCAAATTGTCATTTAAAATCTCAGAATGAAATGAATGTGAAATGTTCTGATGCTGTCATTTTTCTTTACTCCAAAATGCAGCTATGAAAAAGATTTGTTTTTCTTCTTGCAGACTATGGTCAGAATATCTCATTATGTAGTAATTTAGACATGTCCTATCCCAATATCCCAACATTTAAATTGTATCTCGCTATACTGAAACATCTTGTGGAGTGAGTAACTACTTTACTTACAACGATACTTTTGTATCCGATTTTTTTTCTTACGAGTTGGATCCACTCACTAGTGCAGGGGTCAGCAACCTTTTACACACCGAGTGCCATTTTTGCAACCATCAGACAACCGAGTGCCATTGAACAATAGTGCACCATGGTATTAGCAAATTTCAGTTTTTGTACTCATAGTTGTACTGCTAATAATAAGTTAAACTCACTAATTATTTGAATGTGTTTATCTTGCCGTTAGCAGCACAACTGTAAGTGAAAACATTTTATAACTATTGCACACACAAAATATATTTACATGTACTAAAAAAGTAAACTGGACTTACAGTTACCGGTTATAGACCCCGCCCCCATGACGGGTATAGGCTCCGCCCCCGCCAGGCTAACAGTGATGTGATCACTGTCAATGACAGGCCTGTTGTCAATGCCTGTTGTATTCACAGCACACACGCCGGAACATACAGCTGTCCCTCCTCCAGCTCCATTCAGGCCTAAAATGTGGAATATAACATGGGTGCAAAAAATGAAAAAAGGGCCTCAGTCATGAAGGGGTTAAAATCTATTGTGATTAAATTTATATGTGATCAATTACTCATTAGACAGTTCCACTTTGGGATTTCCTTATTGCTCAAGGGAATTATTTTATTTACAACATTTAAATTGCTTTACTTTAAGGTTCATATACAGTAGGTCACATGTGGGCTTTTAGTGCTCCCAAAATGCATATTAAATAACCTTATTTAAATTTGTATTCTGACCTTAACCCATTGATTCAGAATAGCAGCAAGATGTCGAACGGTGCTAGCAGAATACAACATGTCTTGTGATGATGTAAGTATTATATGTTCTGTCTGTGAGGGTAGTTAATGGTATTTTATTCAACCTGAATGAAACTTTGGGGTTGATTTACTACTACCTACTTTGCACTTAGCAGGGGAAGTTTGCCTTTAGTTTAGTGAATGAGGGGAAGCTCTGCTGACTTCCATCACCCAATCATGTTCAAGAAAAAAAAAATGTGTTTTTTTTTTCCCCCTTGGACATGATTGGGTATTCTTTTCACCGTGACGTTTTACCACATTCACTAAGCTAAGGGAAACTTCCCCTGCAAATTCTATTTGCAAACTGAACAGCCTATTAGCCTTTAGTAAATCAACCCCTTTGTCTCTAGAAACCAATTTACTAATTACCCCCTTCTCTTGTTTCTAAAGCTGGCCATAAATCTTTGGATTATCTGCAGATTTTCTATGGTCAGATGGAAAAAGTGCAACAGATTCCTCCATCTACGCTAAACTGTGTGGATGGAGGAATATCCCACTGGGCTAAGCTTCAGTATTTTGCTAGTTGGCCCTGCTGGCTGTCAAAATACCTGAACAATGCCTGCATCCAATCAGATTGTTCAGGTATTTTGGTAAGTTGGTGTATGGCCAGCTTAACCCATATGTGAAGGGTGGTATGGGAGGGATATTTGCTCATAATAACCTTTGTGGATTTTCAGCTAGAAGCAGCCACTGTTGGGATGTCTTATTGAAACCCATGCTGTACAAAAAATTGTACATTTGTAAAATTTCTTTAACTTTTTTTATAAACTTATGGACATTCAAATCAATTAAAAATGACCAAAAATCTTTTTAAAAATAACAACATTACAACCACAGTTTAACGCATGTGTCAGAACTCAGGTCCTTCAGCCGTTTCCAGAGAAATTGTTGCATACAAGTGGGTGATGGGGGAACCTATATTATATGGAGTTACGGAAACACAAGTGGAGTTTGTGCAAATCGGTGTTGAGAGCTCCTTTAATTCTATTTCATTTGAATTAGTAAGATACAAATGTTTCACACTTAAACTAATATTTATTCTTATTTTGTCCTTTCAGACGGGGAAATTAATTCTAAAACCAAGACCTCATATCCAATGACATTTTTCCTACAATATTAGTAAATTCTTGGACAATTTTTTCAGATTTTCTTTAAACAAGTCTTATGGAAAACAAGTTAACACCAAGAAGGAACATCAAGACATGGAAAGCCTTGGAATATTTGCTGCAAAGATGTTGAATGTTTTTTACTTGGGTTTCAGTTACACTTCATCATTTCACTTAATTAAATCCTTTCACTTTTTTTTATGTAACAGCATCTGTATTGTATTTATTCATGTATTGCACAAAGGAGCCAAAAAAAAGCATACGGCAGAAAGTATAAATAAGTTAAATGGAGACTATGCCTCCGATAGCAAAATGAGTTAAGGTACCCTCGTAGACTGTTTTATTCTCTCTGGTTTTCTTGCAGCATGGTAAAAAGGGATTGCATGCTACTGGATCAATAACTATGGGCTAGTGTATATAAGTGATTGCAGTTCATCTTTCCCCCTTTCGTTTTACTTGTTCAGCCCAGATCAGGTCTGCATTATAATCTGCTACAGTGTATGCAGACACTGCTCAAGCTCATCCTTCAAAAAGTGTGTGATGGGTCAGTTTTGAGTAATACAGCACTTTGTAGGCTTTTTTTGCAGCTGATCTCTTGCCAGATCTTTTTTTTTTTACCTAATCTGCTTCAGAAAGCTTAAAGTTATCCTTTGGCAAGCATGTCCATTGTGCAGTTGTTGGGATTCTGTCCTTAATGCCCAAATGAGCCTTCAGGTTAAATAAGCTAAATACATTCCAGGTGTTAAAAAAACAAACCACGTTTAATGTTTTACAGTTGGCTTTCTTTCTAAAGTAGCTATAGAGTACAAAAGCCTGCCCCCTACCAACAGCTTCCGAGGACGCTTCTTCTCTCTGAGGAAGCAGTGGTCTATTTGCAAAGGTCTGACAGCCCCTTGCTGAGTCAAAACCAGAGCTCTCCAATCAGCAGGAAGCATGAGCTTTGCTGATTTGTAGAGCTATAGGTCTGGTTCAGTTAGGGGGGAGAGCGTGTCGGACTTCTGCAAAGAGACCACTGTTTCCTTCTGCTTTACAAAGAAAACTAACTGTAAACCAAAAAACACATTTTTGCTTCTGGAATGTATGTAGCTGATTTAAACTTTTAGTTTTGATTAGGATTTGAAGATTTTTCAGTCGTGCCAGGGGTAGATTGGTAAGCTGGAGAGGATTTGTGGGAATTTCACAATTAGAAACGAATGTCAGCTGTATACTGATATAAGTTGCGTAGATAAATCTAAGGTACAGGTCTTGAAAACAACAACATTGTTACATAAGTAGATAACAACTCTTTTCATTAAAAGGAATTTTTTTTTAAGTTTCCTTACCAACCCATAAGTAAATCCAACTCCAATTTAAAATTACGCTATCAGTGGACAAAAAACAAACAATAAGTACCCTGTGAATATTACTTTGGTGCGTGGTGACTCCAAATTTTGCTCTAGTACAGAGCTTAGGTGGCTGAAGAATCTTCTGCATCTGACATTTCCAGGTGTGTCAGATGCCGGTGTCCCCTGCTGTGGTTTGTTGTGTAACCACCAGCCACTACGTCACTACTGTGTCCTGTAGAGAGGTGGAATCACAGTATGCAGCAGGGGTCACAGCGTCTGGCAGCAGGAACCATTGGATACCAGCAGCAGCTGTAGCTGTGCAAAAGTGCAAGGATTTGAAGTCACTGCCCGCTGGACTGCTAATTATTACTAATCTTCTTTTGTAGGATATGTGTAGTAATTGACAGGATTGCTTTATTAACCCATAATATAACTTATTTATATCTGAAGGTAACTGTGTTTACGCTATTCTTCAGTCTGTTGCACTAGTACTGTTTTCATTCTCTCTATTACCATGTGATAATGTTAACTGTAGTGGGAGGGACTTCATAGAAATCACCTGCTTACAGCATGCCTACAGATCAGATGTATACTGTATGTAGTCCACTTTGTTGTAATATAGTTCTTGTTCTGTTTGATCATTTTGTTGTTACATAACTTTTCTTTGAATATAACTTTTTAATCATACAAATGAAAGTACATTTCAGCTCGACAGGTTTCATATTTATTTGTTCTTGCCTACATTTGCTGCCCGCCGTTTTTATAAGTATTGGCAGATTGAGATCCTTGAACCTAAAAAAGTTTGGCTTCATTCATCTCCAGACCTTAAATACAAACATTTAATGGTGCACATTTTTTACTCTCTTCAGAGAATGTTAAGAGGACATAATTGGTGTTCTACTTTTTTCACTCGTACAAAATAACTTTAAGTGTAATGAAACACATCAGACTGTACAATGAAAATGAAAGAAATTAAAAACATATTTGTGTTTTTATAAGAAAAAAAAAACCTATTTGAGTACTTTTGGTGCTTTCATTTCTCCGTGTATGGATCTAGAGCCTTTGGACTAGGAAACAGAACGTATTTTTTGTTTCTGGAGCGATTTTGCTTTCAGCTTATCTTTTATTTGAAGTAAGTGTCACTTCACAACTGTTTTCCCCCACAAATAAGGTATATGTATAAAAATATCTTCACAGTTACTACTAGGGATGCACCGCTACTGGTTTTTCGGTATCGAGTACGAGTACCGATATTTATATTTCGGTACTTGTCGATAACGGTACTTCCTGTAGCTTGGAGCCGGCTTCCCGGGCAATCAGGAAGCCCGGCAGCGTGTCATTAGCTGCTGTCCGGCTTATTGATTGCCCGGGAAGCTGTGCTGTTTGACCAGCTTGATGCTGCTTGGCCAAGAAGCTGGCCTCCCAGCCAATCAGCATAGAGGCGGTTGTTTGGCCAGCTCAATGCTGATTGGCTAGGAAGCCAGCATCCCAGCCAATCAGCATGGAACCAGCTTCCCAGCCTCAGGGAGGTGGGTCATTACTCACTGCCTGGCTTCCTGATTGGATGGGAAGCTGGCTCCATGTTCACTCGTGGCACTGCCCATCACAGGAAATCTCCCTCTGACCGGAAGTTCCGGTATCAGGGGGGGCGGGGTAGGAGATGTATCGTAGCATTTGGGAGAGTACTAGTATCAGTATAGTTACGTCCCTAGTTACTACAATCTGCCCCCATAACCCTAAAATATTGAATTTTGGGTGAGAATCTCTCTCCTAACAGTTGAAGCAGTTTTTCAGTTAAATAAAAAAACATTTCGCTTTCATTCATTAATGGACACAGCTCTCGGTATTTGTAAGGATCATTTTACTTTCACCTGCAGGGGTACTGCAAGCGGCAATCATGAAAGAATACAGAGAGCTTTGTACATCATTTAACTCGGAGAAAAGGATTTTACGGTGAGTCCAAAAATCCTATTTTCATCTTGCAAAAAAATTTGCACTGTATGTGTTTTAGCTGATTTCATTACAAACATGGAACAAAAAGCCTTCATGCTATGTTATTTTCATAATTTGTTAGATAACATGAATATGTGTTTTTGTTTTGTAAAATAATTTATATAAAAATTTGTCACACATTGATCTTTTATGTATTGTAAATTTTGTCATATATAAAATTCCTCCCCCTACCCCGAAGAAATCACATTTTTGGTGGCAGGAAGGTGTCTTTTATCACTAGTATAATAGTTTAATTGTGTTTAGAGGTTTTGTTTCAAAATGTGCTGAGAAATTACACAAACACAGATATAATGAAATTCTATATAACTTTTAATTAAGTAGTGACAGATGTAACAATATAATAATAATAATCAGAAAAATATAAGAGAGCTGCAGATACGAGGTAGGTCCATTTTCTTCAAGTGATGATCAACCAGACACGTGCCTGTAGCAGCTCTGCTGCAAAACTACTTTGTTCCAGCTTTGGTCACAATATTAACAGAAACAATAGGTATTCTTAACCAATAGTAGTGCTTAGAATTAGTAGTAGCTTTTAAGGATGAAACCACTATATGAGAACATACATTCCTGCAGTGTTTGGTAATTTTGTGTGCAAAACCACACCCCTCTATAGATCCCTTATCAGGCTTGGATAGCACATTCTTATGTGACACTTAATATTTATTAGTGAGCCATGAAAAGTAACAATTTCTTCATCAGGATGATAAACGGATGTGGACAAATTTGTTCTTCTATGAAAAAAGAAGAAACTAAATCTTTCTCCGAATTAACTTGAATCTGACAAAAGTAATTGGCATCCATTATTTATTCCATATTTAAAAAAAAAAAAAAAATCAGACAAAAATGGCATGGACAAAAAATAATGGAATGCTTGACCTAATATTTTGTTGCACAACCTTTGGGCTGGGTTCACACCTAGGCGTATCGAATATGCGCTTTTGTCGCGCGTTTCATGCCGCGCATTTTTACCACGATTCACGGTAAGACAAATGCGCATTTCCGAGGGCTACCTGGCTGTATACCAATGGATACGCGCGGCAAATACGCCCCAAAGAAGCTACTGTACTTCTTTGGGCGTAGGGCGTTTTGTAGCGCGTTCATACGGCCTGTAATGCGCCCAGGTGTGAACCATTCCCATAGGAAATAATGGGTTTTCGGTGTTTGAGCGTTTTGCAGAGAATAGGAACGCGCTACAAAACGCCCAGGTGTGAACCGGGCCTTAGAGATAATTACTGCAAACAAGCAATTTCTGTAGCTTTCATGGAGACTGTATGCAAATGTATCCTTTATTTATTTGCTTTCAGTTTCAGTGTTTTATTTTAAATGCAATACAACTATACATCACTTCTCTCTCGTAAACTATGGAAGCTTCTATATTGTTATTTTCAACATTTAAATATTGATCAGGCTGAAACTAAGGGGAAGCTAAAACACTATTTTACTTTATGGATTCTTGTTTTACAATAAGTATATAGGATAGAATAAGCATTTGTGATTACTGGCCATAGATACCCAAGCCCAACAGCCATTGAGAGCCTTATACTTGTCCTTGCTCCACTTAGATCTACACTATGCAGCCTGATTGGCACTGCATAGCCACTTCTAGGAAGCCAACACTGTTGGGTCTGGCTCCTGCAGCACATGCATGCTGCAATCACCATTTATTTCGAAGGAAAATTCAGATTACTTAGTGTGTCTCAAACAAGGGAATAGCAATTAAAGTGAAGGCATCCTTTCTATTTTTTTAATACTCAACTCTTCTAGTAATAAGCTTAGTTAGTTCACCAAAGGACAAAAGCTAACTAAAAGGAAAAGTAACTGTGTGTGTAATACAGA